TTTATTACTTTGGGATAAAAAATGTGTGAACCTTTTTGGTATGCAAGCTAGCATGATGAAAATCTTGGTCTACGAGGTATTGAAATTCTAATAAAATGTTTTTAATTGATATTTTCAAAAAGATTGTTGCTTGACTTAATGTAATAATTTATATCCATGGATAATATAACGACATGATGACCCAAGAAAGATTCCAAAGGAGATTATCGGAATAATTCATGAGAATGCTTTATTCAATGTATTTGTAAAGGGAGATATCGAGAATTAGTCTGATTATGTTAGGAATAATTCATGTGGAATGTATGACCTTATTTGAGATAAGTCAATTATCTCAAAGTATGAAACTATTGAAGCGGACGATTACTTTGACCAAATGTGTAAGGAACATGTCAGATTATTATAATAGAAACCGGTCTTTAGTCATGAACAATCATATGTTGCGATTTCAAAAATAACAAATTGTAATAGCTTGAAGATTCTTATTGATGATGCAAAGCATGTTTCCACAAAATGTTCTACATAAACAAAAAACATTATATTTCATTATATGGTGTACTTATTTACTTTTATAATAATGCCAACATAAATTTATAACGTTAATACAAATCGTGCAGCGCACGGGTGTGATACTAGTTGATCCTCGTCTCAAGACGAAGAGAATGACATTGGTCCCGCCGGAATCGGAAAAAGTTCATTTTCCGGCGACTTTGATCGGTGGGCGGCGGCAGCGGGGCCTGGAAGAAAAGAAAAGAAGAAATGGGGTCAAATTGAAAATTTTAAAATATATAAAATTCGAATTTGGCCCTAATGACCGGAAGTTAACCTAGAAACGGGCTAATGGCTCATTAGTGAAAGGATTGTGTAAGTTCAGGAATTTTTGTGAAAGGATTTGAAGTTCATGTACCACTTCGAAATTCCAGCTAAAGTCCAGGTACCATTGGTGAAATTTACCCAATTAACGCGGCATTTGAAGTAGGTGTTATAAATGTGGCTAATCTATCCAAAAGGTCAAATCGTCGACCCCAGACGCCTCCACCATCTGGCCCGAAAGGGTTGGTAGAGGAGGAAAATCATGGTGACTCAGTCAGCCAAGAAAACTAGCTCCCACAATGCTGCTTGCGGATTTGATCCCTGGTCATCAGTCAAAGATTTCACGTTTTCGACCAACTAAGCTGCCCATGCGGGCATGAATGTGGCTGATGATGAGAGGGGTGCAATGTTTTGGAATCATAGGAACTTTAGAAATAAATTTTGAAAACCAAAAGAGTATTGGTGCAAAATTTTCAAACTATGGGGGACATTGGAGATATTTATCTTTGCATTAATAATCTATTTATACATACATACACACTCACACTCACACTCACACTCACACACACTTTCTCAATCAATTGAAACACTAAAACATATCGCCTCTATGAAAAGTTCAACTCGTGACCTCCCACTTGCTAGAGTCACTTCGGTCTCATTGGAGTACAAATTCTTTTGACAAATAATTGCTATTTTTATAATAACAACAATAATAGAATAAAAATTAAAGTGAGCTTTTCAAGGTACATGAGATGGAAAAATTCACTTAGGTATTTTCAATAGAGGCATGGATATTAGCTCATTCTTCGTCATTAGATTTAGAAAAAATCAATAGAAACCACATTTTAACACATCAATAACATAGAAACCACATTTTAATTAACGGTGGTTTAACGCAGGGGGCGATAAACACCGTCCTTCTTTACCGTCATCTGGGCGTTAAATGGTTTGCGTTAAAGGTTTGACGCAACGCCTCTCCCTTCCCCAACGGTTCTCCCTTCCCCAACGGCCATAATTTGGACCGTTGGGCATTAATTTTTTTTTAAAAAATATTTTTTATATTATAAATACACCTTATTTTTAACACAACAAACACACACAACTTATTCTTATTATCTCCATAATTACTTTTAAAAATTTATATTTTTTTAAAATTATTTCTACAAAATATTCGAAAAATGAGATCATCATATAACGATGAAAAGAGAACTCTCATTTTTCGTTATCAATGGTGGTAACAAGGCCAGCGAGAAGATATTTTTATTTGCTCAAATAATCATTAATGTCTTCGTAATGTAATGTATTTTTTCATTTATGTTTTAATTATTCAAATCTTATTATATTAATGTAATTTTTTATTGATTGAGTTATTGTCGTTTAAATTAAATTAAATAACAAAAATTTATTAATTTAGTTTTAGAAGTTGTGTATTCAAAAATGTAAAAAAGAGAGGTTTGAAGCCTCACGGCTTCATATCTATTTCTAGTAAAGTTTTGGTGTAAATTAAAGCTAATGTGGCAAAGAGAGAAAGTTTGAATTCTCAAAGCTTCAGAACCATTTTCAGTGCTCTAAGTATGAGGTGCCAAGAAATATAAAGTGCATTTCATTAATCAATTTAAAAGAAAAGCAAACCATTGGCACTACTGCAAAGTGAATTAAAAGAACACCAAGGTTCCCATGACATTGCCCGGCAATGTCATGGGATGACTCGAGGGCACTCTGGTGCCCCATTCGTAAAATTGATGGTTCCTACTCCCCCAGTAAACCCTCACCTCGCCGCGACCCGAACACACTCCCCACCCCCTTCAATTGCACCACACAAGTTGATTTTTACTTTGGAGTCAAATTTTGTTTTTAAAGTCAAAATCAACTTGTGGGGTGCAATTGAAGGGTGTGGGAGGTGTGTTCAGGTCGGGACAGAGTGGGGGTTTACTAAGGGGTTAGGGGAAGTAGGAACCGTCAATTTTACAAACGGGACACCGGAGTACCCCCGGGTCATCCTATGACATTGCCGGGCAATGTCATGGGAACCTTGCCCTTAAAAGAAAAACAAACCATCGGCATTCGGCACTACTGCAAAGTGAATTTGATCGGGACTCTTTTTCCAAAAAGCGAAATCGCTCACCCTGAACGCCCCCCCTACTCGACGGGATTGTAAAAGGATGTAAATCATGATGACTTAACCGGCAACAAAGACTGAGACCAGTGCTCATTACGCACAAGGAGCCCTCCTCATTAATCTCTTGCGGGTTGGTCAAGAGCTCAAGACTCTAACTTATTATTGGAGACTTTGTTACTGTGCATTTGGCCTATAAATCAAGACGACTTGTAGTAGTAATAATAATAATAATAATAATAATAATAATAATAATAATAATAATAATAATAGTAATAATAATAATAATAATAATAATAATAACAATATTAATAATAACAATAATAATAACAACAACAATAATAATAACACAACAATAGTAATAACAATAACAATAGTAATAATAATCATAATAAAAATAATGATAATAACAATATAATAATAATACAAATACTACCTCCATTCCCTAATAATTATACTAATAACAACAACAACAACAACAACGAGAATGATGATAACAATAATAGTAATAGTAATAGTAATAGTAATAGTAATAGTAATAGTAATAGTAATAGTAATAGTAATAATAATAATAATAATAATAATAATAATAGTAATAATAATAATAATAATAATAACAACAACAACAATAACAACAACAACAACAACAACAATAATTATAATAATACAAATACTACCTCCCCCCCGGCATATTTGCTCAATTTGACTTTTTTGCAATCAAACTTGTTGAACTTTGAATTTCAATTAAATAAAAATTGTAATTTGTACTCCGTATAATTCTGATGGCAACTTTATTTTAAAATTCTATTTTATTGTATTTATAAGTAATACAACTTGTGAGTAATTGATAATTAAATGTCATCCAATTTGACCTCAAAAAATTAAACTAAACGAATAGAGCGAGGGAATATAAATTTTGATTCGAATATTAAACAGATATGAAGGGTTCAATTCAAATGAAATCCAATTTTTGAAAGAATAAATAACTAAATATATAAATAAATAAATAGATTCCCTCTATAATGATACTTTGTAAAATTCATGCATCCAAATTGAAAATTTAACCAAAATAACATAATATTCGTTACATTTAATATTGTTACATGTTCTAACGAGTTAAACATACTCCCTTAATCTTAAAAAGACCTTTTTGTTACAATTTCGATATTTGATTGAAGTTATATTTAATTTAATTTCTTTCAAAAATTGGTCCTAGAATTGAAAAAGTAAGATTGATATAGTTTAAAAAACAAGAATAAAAGTTCTACGAGACAAAAGATAACTATTTTATTTTATCAAACAAATTCTCAAATCAGAACTATGAAGTTTTTATGGGATGCAAAGAGTATAAATTTGGTTCTAAGTAACATAAATATCTTTACTCCAAGTGAAAGTTGGGATTTTTAACAGTTATACATTGTGAAACATGAATTCTTTTTAAAGCAAGTGCATTGCTATTTTTGAATGTAGGCCTTGTTTAGGAACGATGTTTCAATTAGAATGATGTAAATTAAATTTGAAAATATTACAATTAAAGACTAATACTTTTTTTCGAAACACTAAAACTATACGTTGAAATCATTATATTGTCAAGCTCAAGCATGCACGTAGTTGAAGGGAAATAATTTAACATTGTACCCATTTTTTGTACAAAGAGTATGTGTAGAAATATAGAAATAATATAGTTGCATGAATATAAATATATTGGCACAAATCACTTCCCAAAAACTCTTTCCCTTTTCTTTTTTTCTTGTCCCACAAATTCCTTTTCATTTCTTATTAAAAAATCACTTTTACCCCTTTTAATTCTTAACCTAACTATCACATCATACTTTTTTTAATAATAATCTATACATCACATCAAGGGTATTTTTGTAAAGTTAACACAAAATATCCCTCCCTTAAATTTCAAAAAAAAAAGGGAACATTTTTATGGGAGAGAGGAAGTATATATTTGGAGAATATATGTACACATAAATAGGATTCCCTTGGATCTTCACTAATGAAGCTTGGAAGCGAGGAAGAGAAGGTGAATTGTGGGAGACAAGAGGGTATAGTAATATGAAAGTGGTATTACATATGGTGTACTTTATTACCTACGAAAGATCAGCCCCAACAAAGTTCGATACTGAAAAAGCTTTAAAAAAAATTTTGCTCGGGCCAAACTATAGACCTTAAAGACCTAAAATTATCGAATATTTGAATATTCAATTCATTTACATACTACCTAGGAAAGATCACGCGAGCACAATTAGAGAAATGTTTGAAAATTCTTTTGTAGGATTTGATAACGCAGTCCTCGTGCGTATAGCTTGCATTGTGATCAGTGTAGAATACAATTTTGAACCCACAAAATTGTCTGTCCGCAGCCACAAAAATTGCATATTCTGGCATGGATTTCAATTCACTGATCAAAATTTTTATTGTCAGCAAAATTACATATATGATGGTCCTAAAAAGAATAAGAAATAAGTTAAGATTGAAATCAAAAGGAAACACCTTAATGAAAATACAAATCAGCATGCAACATAGTCGCGAGAAAGGAAGAAAACTGACTTCATTAAACAATCTGATGCAGCAGCGATAATTTATCAGGTATCCTCGACTCTAGAGTGAAAGACGAAGCTTGGAAATGTAGTTGTGATGTCCCTGGTTTAATCAAGTGAGAATATAACGTTAGCAATTCGACGTGGATTATTAGTTAACTAATACTATAATAGTATGAGCGCGAGAAGTTTTCAGGTTAAAAAAACAGCAAAATTGGTAAAAAGTTTGGAGACTGGTGAGAGATATACTTAAGGTATTGAAGGGTCATATTCTTTAGAAGCGACGGGTGTCTCAAGACAAGGTTCCTCCATTCCTCCTCGTCAATTTTCCCATCATGTTTTGTATCTGCCTCCTCAAACGTCTGCACATAAAGAAGTTTTTTTTAAATTAAAAAGACCAAAATTAACCAACTTTGGTTCCCAATTTCAGGTATTGAAAGAATGGAATGATTCAAGATAAATACATAAATGAAAAGGATTATTGCGCGGCAAAATGAATGTGAGGATCCTGTCTCGAAAGAGTTAAGTTTATGTTATTTTTAATTAGGCTGTGCAGTTCTTCCAAGATCAAAACACAATCCTTCAAAAGGTGAATGGGGATATATATACTCCCTGCACGGCTGTGCCCCAAAAGAACTTTAGTGTTTGACTTTACGGAGTTCAAGAAGAGTGTGAGGGAAATTTGTTAAGAGTGGAGAGAAATTTTGTAGGCCACATATTTCTTAACTTCTAAGCAAAAAGTAAAAGTGATGTTTTTTGGGAAGAAAGCCTAGTCCCCAAGATTCATGGGGTTTGAGAAAGTATTAAGAGATACTACATTATAATCGGGCCAATAGCACTCATTACAATGAAAGTGTGAAGTTCTTTGTGGGGCAGAGGGAGTATAAAAATAGGCGTCTATGATGATTGATAAAAAAAAATGCACCTTGTCAATAATGCTCTCAATCACATCATCTGAAAGGTTCATGCCCGATTCAGCTAGGGTAGCAACCACCATTTGCTTCACCTAAGTACCAGAAGACAAATAAAACTGTCACTGAAATCAATTTGTGAACGAAAAAAGAAAGAAAAAGAAAGTAACCTCTTGTCTCTCAATGTAACCTTGTTGCTTGAGATCATATAGTTGAAAAGAAACTGCAAGATTAATAAATGACACATTAGATACTACAAGTACCGAGGAGTAGTTCGAATACGAAATTTTCATTTAAAAGACATAGATAATTGCATCTAGCATACACTCAATCTTATCATCAATAGGGGCATTTGGATGAAAAACAGAAAGTGCACGAGCAAACTCCTCAAAACCAAGGATACCATTATGCTTTGTGTCAAACAAGTCAAACACCTGCATCATGGGAGGATGCCATAAACATGCAAAGGCACTTTCTTGAGTCTTCTCAAATAATAAGTCAACAAAACAAATAACCAAGAGTTTATAATATTGTATAAAGAAGATTACAATACAATTTAAGATGTAAATAAGTACCCGATCAGCAAACAAACTTTCTTTTTTGTTGGTCTTGAATAGGGCCAATTGGAACTTTTCCTGTAGTACAATACATTAATACCCAATGTCAAAGCGAAACATTGTTTAGGTTTTAGAAGAATATGAAAATACAAGCAGAAGAGTAAGCTATCTTGAAAAGTGTGAATACAAAAAATGAGCAAGGACCTTGTTGATTAGCCCATCATCAATCACAGCACTGCTGATCTTCTTAAACAATTCATAGAGCGCTTCAATTTCACTAACACTAACTGCACCAAACAGACACAGTGATTGAGTATTCAAACCTATGACTCCACAGTCACCACAAAGATTAGTTGTTTAATTGTCAAAGTAACATACACACGGTCTCTCTTGCAAGGATTTCAGGATCGTCAAGTCCTGTTTGTCTATGCAAATCAAGATCACAACATCGTAGTAATGATGCCCCCAAATTCTTGATTCCCTCTAAGCACTGTAACATGGTAACTCCTGCGCATCAAAATACTCCAGCCCTTTTCAGGCAAAGAGGGAGTGTGAAATACTCCATTATAGAGTGTCCATGAAAGAAGATTAAAAGGAAAATTTTATGATATGGAGCACAAACCAGATAATTAAGTAACCTGTTGACCATTCTCCACTTCTACTAGTCTGAACTCTGACACGAAATGCTGATCGTTGAGAAAGAGGAATATACAATATACAAATCTACTTATCTCTTTTCAAGCAAATCTGCAGTTTAACTTTAAGACTGTAATCATTTATCTGAGCAAAGAGTTAAAAATATCTGTAGATGAGACCCCTCCAAGTTAGTCAACTAAAGGAGAAAAAATGGAGAGGATAGAAATGGCTTTTTTACTTTGATTTTTATCTTAGAAATGCAAAATCCCGGGTCAAATTACATTCAGATGAATGAAACTACACTAAAAAACAATTAAATACATAGATCTCCTATGCAGGCTCTTTGAGACTATCGAGTCAACTGTACAATGTGTAGAAGATTCCTTATTAAATGGGAAAAACATGATATTAACAGAAACTGATGGAATTCATAGGATATCTTGTAAAATTTGATTCAGCCAGCAGGCAGTATGGCATACAAAAATACAATACTGATGTCATGTAAATAATATTAATGGCACAACCGCACAAGAAGAAATGGGATCCCCACCATTAAGAATTTTTATTAGCATGTGTATATTTTGTAGCTTGTGTTGTAACGGGCCGAGGCCCACTAGCGTAGCATGGTAGTATATATGTACGATTGAGTTTACGTAAATGCGCAGAAAAAGGTTTTACAGATTTCTACATGGTATCAGAGCAGGTTTTGGCCCACCTCGTTTGTCAAGGTGTCCGTCTAGACGTTCATTCCTAGCGGCCCGTTAGTGTTTAGCCCAGTTGTCCGTATGGAGTATGTACCCAACGGCCTGTGGCCTGTTTGACCCGATTGCACGTCTGGAAGTCCATACCCAGCGGCTCGTGGTCCTTTAGGTGTTGGCACTCAAAAAAAAAAGTCAAGGGAATGGGAGTTCATTTGCAAGTGGTCAACCGGTTAGATTCAAAATGGCCCGGTTGTCCACTTGAGGGGGAGTGTTAAGAGTATCCCACATCGGAACTTGAAGAGAAAAATAACCCGGTATATAAGCCCTTGAGTTGAACTAACTAATCGATTGGATTCAATCTTTTAATGTGGTTCAATCCAAGTGTTTTATTAATATGATCAGATTGCAACAAATAATAATAAATTGTCCTGAATTAGTTATCCCATTTCCATATTCAATAAATAAATTATGATGAATTGTCTAAAATATCCTATAGACAAGGCCGGCTGATCATTGTTGACATGAATGAGGGGCAAACTCATTTCAAGAACTTATTTGACAACTTAAACTCATTTCTTAAACTGAGTTTTTTGAAAGAAAGTTGACAACTAAATCCGAACAGAGGGAATATGTATTAAACAGCTTCAAGCAAATACGGAGTATTTCGTAAGATTTCTGGCGCGAAACCAACAAACAACAACATTGTTTGGTGGTTTCATACCGGAATCTTTGGGAATGTCCTTAAGCCAATGAAATCTAATGAAACCACCAAAACCTTTGTTTCATAATTTAGAGTCAATTTAGCAGCATCCATTAGATCATAGATACCACCCAAGATGAACATTTACTTTTGCTCAATGTCCAACTACAAATCCGTCCATAAACATTTCCTGGTGTTTTCAACTCGAGTCCCAGAACACTTAATTACTAAAGGCCGTTAATTTCATTAAGACTGCATTATATATAATTTATAATTACATTTTTTTTTAAAAAACTAACCTTTTCATATGCATCATCGCTAGGCTGCTGAAAAGATAACTTTCCAATAGCAGATTTCAATTTTAAAACCCATGAAACATACACACTATTCAGATCGAATGCTTCATCTAATAAACACGCAACATAACTGACCCGACGCAGAATCTGAAGACCCGCAGATCGAAATTCAAATTATTACGAAAGCTAGAAGCTCATACAACAAGGGATTGATTCTTTAACTCGCTTACATTTATCGACAGAACAATCGGCGATGAATTCTACCTCCGGTGATGCGCGCCACAAGAATCGCGATGCTTCCCATTGATCTCTCTTTTCGTTCCATTAAAGAAAAGATTGATCAATATTTAAACTTTTTGTTTTGTAATTGAGGAAAATCTACAAATGAAATCAACTAAGTGTCCGTTTGGTATACAAAATTGATGAAATTGAAATTGAATTGGAATTAAAATTTGATAAGATCAATTTCATATAATCGGATTCATCAATTCCAATTCATTTTTGCACTACCAATTACAAATTCACATGATTTTGATGTTACCAAACACAAGAATTAATTAAAATTGAAGCTCTTAATTCTAATTTCATAGTTTGAATTTCATGCATAAAACTGGGCCTAAATCTTTTTCAAATCATTACAATGAAACATGCCTTAAAAGTTCAAAATTTTAAAATATAGAATGTTTATATGATTTCAAGATCCATATTTAAAATTATGATTCCAAAATCTATATTTAAAATGTAAACTTTTTCACACTTTCATGGGCAACATGTTAATATTTTTCATTTTACAAAGGACTCAATTCTTTAATACTACAAATACACTAAGGTTCATAAAATAACAATAGAACTAAGGTCCAGGAAAAAATTGTCTAAAATATAAAATTTAAAACTTAAACTTTAAAATTCAAAATGCAGTAATAACTACAATTTAGAAATTAAATATTAAAAAAGTAAAAATAAAACAAAAATAAACTACTACGGAGTATTTTAAATTTAAAATTTAAGATTTAAAATTTTAAAATTACAATTTTTTAATTAAAAATAAATAATTATAAATAAAAAATAAAAATCTAAAAATTAACAATTTAAAATTTAATATTTAAAATTCCTAATTTATAAAAAAAATTATAGCTTTAAAATTAAAAAATTAGAAATTACAAATTACAAATTACAAATAAAATATTAAAAATAAAAAGTCTGAACTAAAATTTAAGAATTAAAAAAAGTAAAAACATAAAAATAAAAATTAATTATAAAAAATTTAAATTTATAATTTAAAATTTATAAATTAAAATTTAATATTTAAAATATAAAATTTAAAATTTAAAATTTAAATTTTAAATAGTAAGCTTTATATTTTAAAGTTTAAACTTTTAATTTTAAATTTCAAAATTTAAATTATAAATTTTAAATTTTAAAATTTAAATTTTAGTAACATGTTTTTATATTAATGTGTTTATATTACTACTTGTTTTACGAAAACTTAAAATGACTATTATTTGTGTGGTATTGCTACTCCTAAGAAAGAAAAATTATGTAAATTATACAAAAGAACTTCCTACGTAGAAGTAAAAAAAGTATGAAAATACCACAATAGAAATCATAAGATTTTTAAGAACAAAATAAGAGTTAAAACTGTTATCATTACACTGTCATACTCATCATATTGTCACACCTGTCAAT